TTTTAAGGAGTCCTTAACCCATTTTTTCCCTCTTATAATCAAACCAGAATCTTTTCCTATCCTGTTCGACCAATGTTTCATGTTGGAGAAAGCTGCAGTTAGCTCTGATTTGGAAAATATGATGACAGATGCAGCAAGTTTTGATCGTTTTTTAAAGAATATCATGCAGCATCTCAGCCAGTTTCAGTAGGTGATTTTTGCCATGATTACACAGATCCCTTGACAAAAAGAAACTTTAAGTTATTGAAGAATAAGAGGGAAATTGGATTACACGCCTCACAAAAAAATATTATTTTCTAATCAGAGCCTCAGAAGTGCATCAGCACCCAACCATGCTTCCCATTTACTCCATATATATGTTCACCAGCCTGGATTTGAAATTATCATTTTCATATTTGCCAGTAGAAAAAACACACACAAGACATCCAGGACAAGTTGGTCAACATGTCTTTTACATTTCAGTGTCACGTTACCTATCTTTTTTTCTTTTGGCTTCACTTTACCTTTTCCTTTTTTAACTTTGTTATCTCACCCCATCTTTTTGGACCAGGCTTGCCTGGCTAGAGCTAATTCAAGTTGTTAAATAGTACAAATTGGGTAACTCATATTATATGGTTGGTAAATCAATCTCAATCAACTGCACAACTTTATCAACAACCATTTACCGTTATATGCTTTCTCTATGGATTCCGATACTCTACAGCCAAAGCACGGGGCTGCAGACTGTAGATGATCCCTACACTTTCTTCAACAAGAGGACATTACAATTTACACTATCAACAACCATTTACCGTTATATTAACAACAAAACCCGTTTCAGAACAAAATAACATATCAAATGATGCGATGATAAGTAATTTTGTTCCCAAGTGATTGGTATCTAAACTACTACTAACAGCAACTATGAGCAGCGATCATAACATAGGCGACATAACTCATAAATCACCAGCTGAAACTTCAACCAATTCATACTATCTGCTAGGAATAATGGTAGTAATAAAAATAGTAACTTGGGAAATAAGCACCTAACAATTTAAATCACAAGCACAATATTCTCTGCCCTTATATTACTTGTCCAAATAATGTTGCTCTGTTAGCACATCACTATGAAATGACAAATACATAAAGATACATACATTTTTCAAATTCTTCATCTAAAAGGTTGCTATGATATATAGAAATTAGAAAGAAACCTTGTACAGGACTGAATCTCATTCCCAGGTGTCAAGAGACATGAAGAAGCTTGTTAACAGCCGAGTCCAGAACATCTACATGCCTTCTCAGGATTTTTCTTCAAATCATTAAGGATTTCAATTGAAAACAGATCAAACAGGTAAAATGTAAAACACCAAATTGCTCCTAATCAAATAATCAGCAGAATAGAAACCATGTTCAGTTCTTACATACAGTATACAATATACACCAACAACCAAACCTTTTTCCACCATAGGGCCGGCTGCATGGATCAAACTATGTCATAATATTCTATAAAAAACCATACTTATATCCAACTCATTTATCTCGAGATTTCTTTAATAAGTTATTCTTATAGCATTTTTAGGTCTTCACCTACCTCTAGCATTTTGACTACCCTCCATCTAATCTATTCTCCTTACTACGTAATCTACATGTCTTTTCTCTCTACTTGCCCAAATCACTTAAGTCTAGTAACCACCATATTTTCTACTATAACTCCTACCCCAACACTCTTTCTAATATTTCCATTTCTACTCTTATCTCGTCCGTTCAGTCTTACCTCACAACCATCGCAACAGCCCATCTCTGCAAGAGTATACAATATACATAATAATAAACAACAAACTTGGCAAAATACTAGCCCAAAAATGGAAGAACATTGTTGTAACTTGACAACTTGTAAATGACATCTATGTTTAACCTTTCAAGTAGCATAAACAAAAAAGGTAAAAACAATTTAAGTTAACAATTAGCAAAGATCAAATGGAATGGATACAATTGTGATGCTAGACTATCAACGCTCTTCATCTCCTCATTCAATCTGCAGCATATAACATTCAACTTCATCTATTCCATTCAAGTTTCTGAAGAAAAAAAGAACATATAAAAACTTACTTGAGACACGAATTTATATACCGATTCCCCTTAGTTGCTGCATCAAGCACTGAACCAAACCACAAATCAATAAACAATCAAATCATGATCATTATATTTGGGAAAAAAAGGGGGAATGAGTACCGGATTCTTGAAGATGACCGGCGGCGTCGGTGAAGCATTGAATGTGATGGAGTGAGGTGTCGGTGGATTGAGAGAGGGACAATCGGAGTGCTTCGAAGAGAGAAGTGAAGCTCTGAGCAATGGCGAAGGAATCTCGTTCAACAACTTCAATTGCTTTCAATATTTCTCTCTGATTGTTAGTGTTGAAGGAGGTACCATCTAATGTTAGGGTTTCTGTTTCTGATTCTGGATTGGGATTAGGGTTGGAATTCTCTGATAAATTGGTTTCTTCCACTGTGTCTCCCATTTTCACTTCCTTTGCAGAATCAAACCACTTCACGATGCAATTACTCCATTCTTTGGTTTTTAGTTTATGGTTTAACCACTAAGAAAATTGATTCTTTTAAATTAATTTTGATTGAAAATAAATAGAAAGTAAAGTTTTGTATACATATATAATTATATTAATACTCTTATAAAAATTTCGCTAAGACACTAATTTTGTATCTCTAATTGTAATTTAACAAATCTAATTATTACATTTCAATATTTATTTTAAACATTATAACTGATTTTTTTTTATATTAACTATTTTTAAGGCTAATGCATAGGTGACAATTAAATTTATTAAAAAAAAATTATTTTATTTATTCATTAAAAAATTTATTTAATCAATCTCTCACATAAAAAATAAATTAATAGATTGGATTAAATCTATATGAATAAATTTATCCAATTCATCCAACATATTTTAATAATTCAATAGATTATTTTTATCTATGTTATATTTATTTTTATAAGAATAATTAAAATGGATCTTTTTTCCAACAAAAAAATTGATTTTTTTCAAAAAAAAACCAAATTTTTTTCGAAAAAAAAAATATTTTTTTCGAAAATACAAAAGACCGATTTTTTTCTCAAAAATTCAAATTTTTTTTAGACAATACAAAAAAAAAGATTTTTTACGAGTATAAAAAATTCAATTTTTCACGAATATATTAAAAAATAATTTTTTTAAATTACAAAAAATGAATTTTTTGAAAATTAAAAAAAATGATGGTTTTTTAAAACTATTAAAAAATTGATTTTTTTCAAAAAAAAAAATTAAGTTATTTTTAAAAAAAAAATAAATTGAGTTTTTTTTAAATATAAAAAAAATCAATTTAAAAAAAAAACGTTTGTTTTTTCAAAATATAAAAAAGAAATTTTTGGATGGATGGATATTCATCTGCTAAAAATATGATAATGGATGAATTTCATCCTTAATAGATAAATTAAATTATATTCATCTAATCCAGCCATCACTAAGGAAAATTCTGCTAAATGCAATTAATTTTACAATGTTCAATGCAGCTGAAATATAAAGGTCCCAAAGAAAAAAGTCTCAATGCATGTTAAAAAGCTATTAACACTACTTTTCAACTCTCATACTCAGTTATCTTCTCTTTCCCTTCAAGGTTCCATTGCAATCACCTCTCTCATTCTCTCTCCATTCTCATATACTCAGGTTTGTTGTTCATCAGCATTATGTTTCTTCTTCCTTCTCATTTACTTGATTTCTCCTTCCATATCCATTTGCTAGAACTTCACACAAGACTCATCTTCTCTCCATTATCTTCCTTTTATTCTTTGTCTATCTTCTCCTCAATCTCTTTTTTATTTGTGTCTCCTTCCACAATAGGTGGCTCACACCTAGATATGCAGATCTATAAATGATGAAGTCAAAGTAAATTTTCGTAAAAGTGAAGTTGTGTAGAATTTATCATGTTAGATCATCCTTCAGACTTTCGAATTTTTTTAACATTTTTATCTTTCCATTTTGCAACTAGATATTATGAACCTCCTAATTGGACCAGAAACTTACTCCTAGCAGAAGCATTTGTATTTCCAGAGTATGAAAGATTATTTATATTGTGATCTTTATCTTATTAATAACATTTATCTACAACGTAATTATACTTCTTTTCTTTTTTGAATTTCAAATTTTAATTATTTTAAGTATTTCAAATTTAAATTGACAATACTTATCCAATAATAACTATTGTTTTAATTTTGTAAACTAAAACCTTCACCGCTTTATTATGAGATAAAACACTCTTTATGACATTTTATTATTGAATTAAATCATTATTATTGAAATGGAAACTAGATCACTTTATGGCTTTCTTTTGTATGAATTTACTTATAAAATCAAATAAGTAGTGACCAAATTATCATTTTGATTTAATACTAATGAAGAATGTTTTGTTTCTTAATTATCTTACTAAATAAAACACTTATTTGACAAATATTATATGAATCACTTATTTTTTACTATTTCCTAATTGTTTTATGTGAAATCACTTATTTGAATGAAAAAGAATTTAGTGAGAATTATTTTGGATCAAAAATTGACCCTAAAACCATTTTTTGTGTTTTTAAAGAGAAATATGATTTCTAATCATGATTAATACTCATTTAAGAATATTGCATGTTTAATGTAAATCGGTGAACCAAATTTCACGCTTTGCACAAATCAAAAAAACCTTTCCATATACAAAGGTGCACTGCATTGCTTCATTGGAATAGTAATCATCAAACATCAGGAATATGTAAGGTCATTTGCTTCACCACAACAGAATTTAAATCCATAGCAATATAAGTATGAATCATATGCATTTGATATGTAGCACTAATGTTGTATGTACATTTCTGTTGGAAAACATGTGGTGGACATTGTGATCTATGTTGATGAAATTATTTTGGTTGTTGCTAATGAAATGTTGTATGTTGTTTCGCCTTTAGGGCCTATGAGAGGTCACATTTTCAAAGTTTTTGATTCATGAGAGACATAGTCTCGTCATACCTGAGCTTCTTCATCTTAACTTCTTGTTGTTGCTACTGCAGTGTTTATGTTCAGAAGTGATTTATGATGTATGTGTAATTGTGTTCTTATTCTTTGGTACTTGTGTCCTTTTGAGAAAACTAGGAAGAGATAGAGATTTTATGATTTTCAAGAAAGACTATTGCTTCCAACCGGTGTTCGTAAGAAGTTGTGTGTTGTTGTTATTTGAAGAATGTCTAGAAGAATGTGTGTAACATCATGTTTGTTTGCAAGATCTGTTGTTGGTTTGTTGGTTTCTTTAGTTGGTTTTTTGTTATGGCTCACTTTGGATTTTATAAGTTGGTGGTGGTGCTTGTTTGATGGCGGTCTTATGTCCTTTGTCTCTTTTGAGGCAAATAGGGGGAAAAAAAGAAAAATGCACACATATTTGATAATGTTTTCTGATAATCTTTGTCTCCTACGCACTAGTTGTGGTGCAATCTTGAAAAAGTGTCTAATATGTGTTTTGCCTAAAAATTCCAAAGGGGGAGATTGCTGTTCCTTTGGATTGGCTTATTTTTACAGGCAAAATAGAAAGCAAGATGTTGTGAAAGTTGTGGAATACATCTTGGCTCATTTGGTTTTATGTGTTGATTCCAAAGCTAGTTCAAGTTTGTTCAAGTCCAAGTTTCTGCTAAAGTTGCTTGACAGAAAGTCTGGAAGAAAGACTTGCTTTGGATTTTATAAATTGTTGTTGCTTGTTTGATGGTGGTTCAGTGTCCATTGTCTATTTTGAGGCACATAGGGAGAGAAAAAGAAAAAAACACGCTTCTTTGATAATCTTTGTCTCTTATGCACTAGTTGTGCAATATTAAAGAAGTGTCTAATATGTGTTTTGTCTAAAAATTAAGAAGTGTCTAATATGTGTTTTGTCTAAAAATTAGCCAAAGGGGGAGATTATTATTTCTTTTGATTGACTTATTTTTATAGGCAAAATGAAAAGTAAGATGTTGTGAAAGTTATGGAGCATATTTTGGCTCATTTGGTTCTATGTGTTGATCTTAGAGCTGGTTCAAGTTTGTCCAAGTCCAAATTTCTTCTAAAGTTGCTTGACGAAAAGATTTGTTTGTAAGCAACTTGTTGAGGAAGATGTTTTGACATGTTGTATGACATCCTGGCCTAGGCGTTATTCATATTGAGTTTTGTTGTTCCAAGTAATTGGCTAACTACTATAGGAAACTTGTCGAGCAAGATGTTCAGCACATGTTGCATGACATCTTGGCGTGTGGATTGGGTTCATACTATCTTCTAACTTTCTTTAGATTTTTTTTGGTTTTAATTCTTTCAGAAGTTGCAAAAGATTGTTTTTTTGGAAGAAGCTTGTTAATCCAAATCAATTTGGAAAAGATTTTATTCAAATAAGAAGATTTGATTTGATTGGATTTGCATTAAATAGAAGATGAAGATTTAACTTTATTGGACTTTCTTTGAAGAAAATATTTATTTGAATCTGCCTTTAGGGAAATTTGTTTCATATTTAGTTTATTCAAGATTGTGCTAAAATTGGATATGAAAAAAATATTGATTTAAGATTTATTCCATGAAGAGATTTAATTAGATATGTTTTAATTACAATATTTAGATTTGCACTTAATAAGAAAATCTTCGATCTCTATTAAAGATGATTTAAAGTGTGATTCAGTTTTGGCAAGAGATTTATTCTGAATTCTTTACTTGAGAAATTTGAATTGTGATTTATATCAAGTAAAGAGTTTATTTGATTTGTTCAAGATTCAGAATTTTTTTACATGGACAGATGTCAGACTAAATGTTCCAAGATCTATGAGACATGTGTCTCAGAGTGTTACTTGGTTAGTAAGATAAATTGATGTATATATTGTCTTTTTATGATTTGCTTCATTTTCTATTATAATAGAGATATAAGCGTGCTAACTTAAGTTTGAACTTGAAAAATATGTTATTTTAGCAAGATTACATGTGGAATGCTTAATTTGTATCAATCAAGGATCTAAATCTTTCTAATAAATATTTGATCGGTCATGTGTTTTTTTTGGAGGATGTGGTATGAATCAAATATGTAAGTTCTGTGTCTTTTGGATTGACTACATTTTGGTAAAATAACATATTGATTGTTGTTCTTGCCATGATAGTCAAACATCATGTTCTACATGATGTTGTGACATGTTCTAAGACATCTTATACACATAGCTAGGGCGTGGCTATTTTGGTAATTTTAGTGTGATTTTTTAGTGTATTCTGATGCGCACGTGGGCGACTTGTATGTGAGTATATTATGGGAATTTCAATTATTGCAGATTCTATTACTTTTCATAAAAAGGATCCTTGAGCCTTTTTAGGAAAGTTTGTATTTTTCTCTTATTTTATGCAAGTTGATTTGAAGACAATTTATACTGATTGCTGCTATTTGTGCGCCTTAAGAAGACCAAATCCAATAGGCCTGAAGACTATTTAAAGAAGACCTA